ACCCCGCCCCGGCAAACCCCGGTAAACCCCCGGTCACCCCTGGCAGTGCCGTGGGTGCACCCAGGCTTTTAGCTCGCCGGGGAGGAGGGCAGGGTATGGGGAAGGAGGATTTAACACTCCAGCGCATCCCAGCCGAGGTCTGCAGGGCTGCTGCTGTGCTAATCGCAGCAGGAGGTCTCCAGGTTTTGTTTTATTAAAGCTTTTATTGACCCGTGTTTAAAAAAAGTGAGTCTGCAAAGCAGATCACAGAGCTGCTCAAGGCATTTTTATATTCATTGTGAAAAGGCTTCCTGGCATGGACCGAACTTCTGCTGGGCTCGTCGGCCGCAGTCCTGGGTGTCTTCATCACCTCCGGGGACAGCGACGCAGCGGTGAAAGCCCCTGCCCTGCCCGAGGGCAGCAGCCCGGGGGGTCCGTTCCCCTCCTGCCACAGCCCTACGGGACGGCGGGGGCCAACCCCACCCTGTTATTTCCACGGTCAAAAACGGAGTAAAACTGACGGATGAAAACATCGCCCAAAATCCAGAGGGGTCCGGCGGGAGGGGGGATGTCCATCCCCTGGAAGCCGCTGGTGCAGAAGGCCACGCCATCGCTGTTCTCCTGGGGAAGGAGAAGTGCAAAGCTGGGGATGAACCCGGGAGCCTGGTGCACACGGAAACGCGCAGGAATGGTGACTGCGGGTCCCGTGCATGACGCAGTGGGGCTTGTCACCTGCCGGGACTCATGGCTCGGGTCCCCGGGGGGGCCCCCGGCCGCTTTTCCGGAGCCACTGGGAATTGGGGGCGGTGGCACCGGTGGAGCTGCAGCCGTACCATGAGGGTGTAGGCCTGGGCGCTGAGCGTGTAGGGGAGCCCGTTGATGGTGAAGGTCACATCGGGCATCACGTTGAGGTTGCTGCACTCCACGGCGTACTGCAAAGAGCCGGGCGGCTCAGCCGGGTGGCTCCACGGGAGGTCCCTCCGGGGGGGGGTCCCAGGGCTTTGCCCCCTCCTGTCCCCACCCTTGCTCTCACCTCTCCGTCCACAGGTGTGGCACCGATATAGCTTTGCAATTCTTTTATATCCTTGGTAGGACCTGTGATGAGCGATGTCCCGGTGTCCACGATGGCCTGGCAGCCGCTCACGCAGAAAGCCACTGTCCCACCCAGCTGGATGCTGGAGGAGAAGGAAAGAGAGAAGGACCAGGAGAGACTAGTCCTGCACCCCTGCCCCAGCCCAACCCTTCCCTCCCTGCCCAGCACCACTCACTTGTCCAGCTGGATCTGCCAGTACCCTTGCTGGGTGACCGGCACCCAGTTCAGGGTCCCCGTGAAGCGAGATGGGTCAAAGCCACCAAAGAGCAGCTCTCCTCCCAGGGAGGATTCCGGGTTCCTGGAGGGAGGAGGAGACGTGAGGGATTTCCTCTCTTTTACTTGGCACATGGCATTATAAACGGGTGGGTTTGCACCCGCTCGCTTCCCACAAACGTTTAGGATCATTCGCTTTGTTCCTGTAAGGCCTGAGGTCTGTGATGCTGAGCACGGTACCAAAAAACCCCGTTACTATCTCAGTAAAACATCCTTATTTTAGCAGCCCCCTCCTAAAAGTAATGCCTGAGTCTAAACAACAGCTTGGAGCAAAGCTGTGTCCATACGTGCTCATGTAGACGGAGAACATGGGCAGCTCCACCAGATTTTGTGCCATCATGTTGTCGAAGACGGGGGTGACCCCGTCCACAGACAGCGAGGGGTAGGCCAGCCCCAGGATCCCGTCGAACTTGGCATCCAGGAAGGCTTTTCCCGGCTCGCTGACACTCTCCGCAAACTGCTGGTTGCTCACGGTGAGGCCCTCGACCTGCGGGGAGGAGGAGGCTCGATGGTGATGCTGAGTCTTTTGGCAAGTCCCAGGCACGTTGTCCAGAGCAGGAGAAACCAGAGATGACTCACGACTACTTGGTCAGATCCGATGACCCCCGTCAGACTGCCAGTCCCGTACTGGATGGAGAAGGGGGTCCCTATGGCCTGGTACGTGCTGGACTGTGACGGCTGAAACTTGACGTGCTCAGCTGGGGAAGGAGACGGGAGCTGTCAGCAGAAATACTATTTATCTGCACGGCCGCGGATGCCAGGAGCCCCCG